ATATCTTTATCTTTAAGTATTCACTTCTGTCCTTTTTTGCTTTTTCTCTGCATTTTGTTCATCTCTCTCTTGTACTTGATCGTGTTGTCCATGTTCTGAAGGATCCCGCTCTGAGTGGCTTTTTTCTGCCTCTGCATTGAGGATGGAGCTAACAGTTGTAATGAGCTGGACAGCTGATTGTGTATCACCATCTTCCAGTAGCTGCTCCAACTTTGAATCTTTGGATGATGTCAGATTTAAAGCTGCATCTTCAATATCTATACTTGCTGGTGGTGGGGGCATTACCTAGTAAGTGAACAACCCACAAGTATGTTGTAGGGATACTTACTTTTAAACTATTAAATGCCCATACACCAACACGATTAATATTCAGATTTAGATATCATTTATTAATTTATAAAATACATTCACTAATTTTGAATTTGAATTTTTGAAAAAGTACATTGAGATAAATAACATTTATAATAATACACAAAAATAGTAGTTAATGATACGCATAAACATGAAAAATAAAAAATAAATGAGGCGTACTAGTCTGAAACACGAAAGCTAGTGTCTTGTCAATGAACCTAGTATTTAAAATACTTCAAGTCTAGTGTTTTATTTACTATGAAAAAGAAATAACAGTATAGAATATTGAAAAGACAAGAGTAATGCTGCAATTGACTTGGCACTAGAATTGTAAATATAATATAAATATAAAACCAAATATGTAATACTGAAAGGCAATAAAATTCACTGACTTACCTTTACACTGATAAAAGTGTCAATGTATGCCCCATAAGTATCTAAAACCTTGACGTTTATCTTTACCATATAATTATTCTCTTTTAATCCAATTGGTAAAAGAGTTAGTGGAAACACTGGCTCAACTCCATAATTCAACAAAGAACCTGATAGATAGGGTGAAATAAACTACATAAATTATTAACAACAGTTTGAATTAATTATAAAGAACTTAGGACAATTATAGTGAAGATGATGATATAATTATCATGATGATAATGTTAAAAATAATGATAATAATAGAGCAAAAAGTGACAATGATGATGTTGATGAAATTGTTGATGAAGAGGATTATCCTAATACTGTATTGTTTTTACCTTCATCTGAACTATCTTTTAAAGAGCTGACTCCAGCCATTTTTTCAGCCCCTGTCACAGCGTGAACAACATAGTGCAGGGGCAAGTCATCATCGTGGAAGCCCAGGCAACTAATGGCAAATAGGGTTGACAATACATAGCCTTCAGTGGGATCCGCAGTACAGGTACCAAGGCTTGGCCGAGAATTTGTTGAAAACGTAAACTCAGAATAGCTAGATGCTCCACTCCAACTTTTAACTATAAACAGAAAAAAAATACAAAAACTAAACTGCGTTCATGTTCAAAATGCATTGCATTATGATTTTTTACCACTGTAAATACATTATAAAGAAAAAAAGAAAACACAACCTGGTGATAGGTAAAACAAATACATTACAGCCAACATTACTAATTAATATAAGAGGCTCCTTTCCTTACTGCTTCTCTTTAAACATATACTTTGGTAAATGCAGAAAAACCAATTAATATTTGGGCCAACTCGAAAAATAAGAAATAGTATTACATATACATCTGAAGTTTATTATTGAAGTATATTATTAGTATATAATTTCTAATCACAAGCTAATAAACATACTTGTAAAAAGAAAATCAAAAATTAGAAGTTTATCAGCTCATGAGCAATAGTATGCTCTCAACTATCATGTATGATAAACATGAGAGAGGATTTGAAGAAGCTCCAAGTGGCCCTCCCCACAAGTAACACTAATACTGTGTAAAACATATGCTTCATTCCCAGAACATGAATTATTTAAACACGATATCAATGGAAGAAATGATAGTCAAAAGGGATATGGATTTTGACATGATTTATGAGGCATACGACAGAAGAAAAATAATAAAATTCTTGAGTAATCAGTAATATCACTTACTTTTAAGCCTCAGAGTATAAGTTTCTGATTTGGCAGCTTCAAAGACATTGGCATGAATTGACAAGTAGGCGTTGAATTGACTTGTGGTAGTGTCATGACCCCATGCTAAAACCTGATTCACATTGTCTGGGCTACCTGGTATTAGGTACCACTGGTATGCTGGCCGGGTATATTCGGTACAATCACCACACTTACCAGAGAGGATAAAACGTTCAGAGGGATTCAAGAATGTGTCACAGTTCATCAAGCACCTGCAAAAAAATATTAAAATAATATTATATTCATATAATAGCCACTTTGGTGGCCTTCATTGTTTGTAGTTGTACCAATTTAATAAAATATATTTTGGAATCATGAGAGAATGTTTTGCAGTACCTTATACCAATAGAGGGTGGGTTGCCAGGGCTGACAAATATAGTCTGCTCAGTGTGTACAGATTTTCTTCCAGGTTCTGTGATCACCAGACGTATTACAAATGTCTGGTTACCCTCCAGGGTCTGTGCTGGTATGAACAGCTGAGAACCAGAGTTAACATACAACCCTTCCTGGAAGCAACCACCTGAAATAAAAATTAATGAATATATATTTTCAATTTCATGGCAAGGTGCAATTGTCACTTTAAATTTAATTTCTAAAGGTTTATCCAGATTTTATCAGAGATTGCAAATATAAAATAAGGTTGAAAAAACCTGAAGATGCTTTCTTGTCTATCAAACTGATGACATCATCTGGAAAGGTCTCATTCATCAATCTGCAAAACCAGTTGTAATTGAAGTTAGGAGTTGGTGAATCTGGATCATAGGAATCACTACCATCAATGGTGATGTTGTTGTACCATCCTAGAGAAAAAAAATATTTTAAAGTTTTATTTTGCCGTTGTGGCACTCTAGAATAAGTATTGTGATGCTTATCAGAATTACCAAACAGACTTTAATATTTATTATCAAGAACTATTAACAAACTAACTTCTCACAGAGTAAGTACTAACACCAATGCTTTAACAAGTGAAGAGACAAACAATACATGGTACCCTTTTAACAAGGTATGTTTTGAAATTTTCTTTAATGGCATGAACTTATGCAATATAATTATAATTAATCAAGTACTGAATTACCTATTACGATGAGTGAGCCTCCAAGTATTCTAGCAACAAAAGGAGTTTCTACAACTTCCAACATGCTGTTGTCTGAGTTACTGATGCCTAGAGAACCATCACGCAGTACCATCGTCACTGTCAGTTCAAAAATATAATGACCATACTCAAGAGTAAAACTTGGGATGAAAATTTCTGTTAATGATGTCTTTATAGAGGGAGGTAAATGGTATTCATTTGTAGGATCTGGAATTGAGAAAGCTCCAGAAATCTTAAAGACCTTCCACGTAAGCCTAGGTCCAATTGACTCTTGACAATCCCATTTTATGTCTCGACTAAATAAAATATTATGAGATCGTTCATATTGAATGCTGATGTTAGAATCACTGATGCCATCACGAATATGGATCTCTGGAAGCAGACATGGTCGAAGCTGAACAAACGCTGTAGAGATATCGGTTCTTGTGGTCACAAAATTCTGAGCTGTTGCGTTAGCTGTATATTTCCCATCCAATAAATATTGATGATGCAGAATTGATGAGTAGTACTTAGTAGGTTCAAAGGGCAGATTGAGACCACTTGGTAGGCAGTTTATGACTTCTGTCTGCTTTACAGGCAAGTCCCAGATGAGAAGATTGCCATCACCAGTGTCCAGAGTAAATGAGGATCCCGTTCCTATGTGCTTTAAAAACAGGATAAATGTGATGTTTTCTGTCAACATCACTGGACCATTGTTCACAAGAAACACATCAGTGATGCCGTTGAGTAGATCTACCTGTATGGACGACCAGTCAGATGAAAATGCATTACTAACTTTTACAGAAATGTTATTATAACCAATTGCGTCAAATTTCCAGGTGTGGTGAGTGGTGGATGTAATGGCAAGCTGTCCATTGAACTCCCATTCAACCTGTTGAGCAGTTCCTGTCACTTCTAATTCAAAGAAAATTGGATATTCAACTGGAAGTATAGCTGAAGGAACTGAGCTTCCATCTACGAAAAAATAAAACAATTTCATACAATAAAAACTTTGACTATAAAACAAATTAAAATGATTAGAAGTATTTCTCTTCATTATTTAGTGAAATAGCTGTTGTTAGAAGTAACATTATAGACAAATGTTGATACCTTTATAAGAATGGATGATTATGTTTGATATATCTTGAAGAACAGCAACATTTCCCAGGGTTCTTACATGACTGACCTCGTTGTAAATGTCAAGGGTCACAGTATACAGACCTGGTCCAAGAACTTGTGAAATATTAAATGTTTGTACATCCTCTGGTATTGCTGTAATCTGAGTACAACCTATGTATTTCAAGTAAATTATTGTGAAAGCCTTATAAAGTAAACAAATAGCATAATAAAACCTATAATGTAGAATTTTATTTAATTTATACTGAGTGATTTAGGAATAGTTCATTTACGAGACTTTGATTAAATATTTGAAATGATGACAACAGAATGACTTTTTTATGACTTACTTGACACCATGTCTGAACAGTAGGAAAAATAAGTAATTATAATTATGATAAAATGAAAAATATATCAATATTCATGCCTCTCTGGTTTATAGATTTAAAGTGTCAGACTGAGCTACTTGAAGAAGACCATAGTTGTATGAAATAGTACTGGCAACCTATTAATACCTGTAGGTAAAATATATACATGAAAATAAATTAAGAGAATATACCACCTACAGGCTTCCCCAAAAGTTACACTGTAGAATGGACTGCTTGGCAATATATCAGGATGTCCGAATGTGATGGTCAGCATAATGACATCATGAGCCGGAAAATGAAGTGGACTGTTGGTTACCATGGACACTTGTGGTACTGGATACTGAACTGTGATGTTAGCAACTTGTGTAATTTCCATTATGTCAGCTTCAACCGTATATGTACCTAGAGATATTACAAACCTAATATTTAATGTATAATTATATATAAAATCCACTGGCACTTGCACTAGTGTGTTATTTAATTATTATTATTATTATTATTATTATTATTATTATTATTATTATTATTATTATTATTATTATTATTATTATTATTTTTATTATTATTATTATTATCATTATTATTATTATTATTATTATTCAATAGTGTCATATCATGTATTTTCCAGTTAAAACTCCATAATTGTAGACAGTTTATTAGTAGTCTAAACAACTGTTATCAAATAGTGAATTGATTAACAAGAAATAAATATCCTAACAATCCTAACCTGGAGTTTTGAGTGCCAGCTGTATGAAATTCAAGTCTCGGCTTGTTTTCCCAACTCTTACAGTGTTCGCTTTCCAAGTCAAATTGCTACTCTCATTTTCAACCACTGTCCATGTAATGTTAGCTGGGTATCCTCCATCTGCTGAAACCTCTACAGTAAAGTCATCTCCTGCTGCAACATACTTCTTACTTAACTGTATCACCATGTTTGTTATTGGTTCCACTAAAATAAACTGTCTGTTGCACGTTCTTCCATGCAAATTATTGTAAAAAGTCAATGATAATGTATGTTCACCTGGTAACATTGTTTTCTGGATAGTAGTAGGAATAGTAACATACCCCACAATCATATCATTGTGGTCCTGAAGAGGTTGCAATGTATTCAAGAGATTATCATCTTTAAAATAGTTACCATCAATAAGAACATAGAATCTCAGGGTATCAATATTTAGAGTTTGGAACTCCATATACAACGCTTCCTTATTTTTCAAGAAACTTTCGCCATCAATCCAACAATCAACATAATCAATAATTTTATCCACAACGACAGTTGTACGTCTGTCGACAATACCTTGCGATGTCAAACATGATGTCAAGGTGAGGTAAGAACCAGGTTGAGAGAAGGTGTGTGAAATGTATCTATTTTCAAGCATGTTTTTCTCTGTAAAAGTAGTTGTGCCATCTCCAAATGACCAAGCACATACAATTTCTGGTTCAGCAATGAAATCCACCTCAAAATGAAATGTAGTAGCATCACCAAGTTTAGTAAGAAATTCAACAGAAACCTGGAATACATCTGCAAAATGTAACAAATAATTTAAAATATACTCCGATATAAAGTAGACTATTTGCTCTAGAATAAAAATGTAATTTTAATTTTCTTTCACCACAATCAATCCACAACCTAGCTCTGAACAGGTGATGCAGTTTTCATGAACTGTCATATTGAGACAGTGAAATACATAAATAATACTAAACTGTACTATAATTATTAATAAACTCCCTAACTAAGGGCAGGCAGTGAGTAGTGTAAAGCTCAGGCTGAAAGAATCTAGTAGGGCCGCCTTGTACTAATTAGGCCTAGTAGTAGTCTGCTAGAAGAAGCTAGCATTATTACTACTGTACAATTAAGCAGGCCTATCTATATCCATACACACACATCATGGCCTAGCCTGCCTCCAACTAGGAGGAGCCTCTCTAAAACTATAGCAGTGAGTACAGACAAACCCAGGCCTAATAATTTTAATATGGCTATGCCCCAACACCAGCCCGGAGAGAATGACAGGCCTCTTGACTTGTGAAGGCCCGAGAACGTGAACAGTTTTACTTCATAATTTGAAATGAATGTTAGATACGGATAGCTACGTAAATAGAAACCTGAATGCGAAACACCATTCTTCCTGATAATGGAACAGAGCCTCTCTTGACCAAAAGAGACCAGCCTATGCCTACTCCGATCCTCCTCTGTCCCGCGCGTGTTTATGTACGTGGTCAGTGAAGCGTGATGATGAAAATTTTTCAAAAAAGTTTTTAAACTTTACCATGTGACTGTACTGTATACAACTTCACAAGCGTAAATAATAATAGAACGACATTGTGTCCGATGTTATAGATCAGCATTATAAGTAATTACGAGGCAAAAATGATAGATATCTTCAAAACAATTGATTGATTACTAAATTAATTAATATTCTGTAGTCACCATATCATAACCCGTCATAAAACAGTGACGCATAACATTTTCGTCGAGATTCTTGGAATACGACGTACGCGCTTTGTGCGCTACTGCTTTTTAACGCGCGCAGAGGAGAGAACCGAGGGACCTGGATATCGATCATGATTGCAATACCGATCCTGTTGCAGTGTCATTCTGGCAGCTAAACCTAAAAATGCTACTTTGCTGTTATATCATTATTTATTATTATTATCATTAATATAGTTATACTGGTAGTAATATGAATAAGTATTATTATTACAGTATTGTTTATAATTATAATCATATTTAATATAAATAGTATTATTTTTTATTTTTATAGTTACAGTTTTCATCTAATTCAACACTCAGACCTGAAAATTTGGGGTGGCCTCGGGGTGGTCTTTGAGCTGCACTAGGGTTCGCTCTGTGTTAAAAGATTTACGGTGATTATTTGTTCTTTGAAAAAGTGGTCTCGCATTAGAAGACTTAAGGGTCTCGAATTGGAGGCTGCAGTATTAGTAGGCGTAAATAATTTTTATATGCTGTTGTTGAAATGTTATTACCCAATGTTTGGGAATAATTACCCAAAACACTCTTACTAAAAACCTGCACTTAAAAAGACATGGACAGCTAATGCCCTAGCCATGCTATTGGGACAGTTGGGACAGTCCCACACAAAGGAATAGGTCCACATTTTAAAAAATGGTTCCAAATTATGTAATTTTATGCATAAAATGGGTCCACATTTTGAAAAATGGGTCCAAATTTCTCATATTCAGCTTAAAATGGGTAAAATTTAAGAAAATGAGTCCAGATTTTTAAAAATTTTGTTTAAAATGCGTCATCCTTATCTTTTAACATTTAAAATTTTCAATTCCAATTAGATTTGTGAGATTGTGGAATAACCTCCATTATTCCTGATATTCGAAATTATTTCATTATATATATGCCTATTAATAATTTTGGCTTGTTCAAATTTAAGTTAAAACATTTTTAATGATTTTTTAATCGTTTGATATTGTTTTATTATCATTATTATTATTATTATTATATTATTATTATTATTATTATTATTATTATTATTATTATTATTATTATTTATTTTTTCCTGGGAGCAGCACATCCGCTTTTGCTGCTCCCCTGGCTCACCTAAATTCTTATAATGTTTGTGAATTTCTGTTTTTTTTGTATTTGTAATGTTTTATATTGTTATTTGTTTTGCCAGAATGCATAAATAAATAAATAAAAAGGTTGGGAACCTCTGCTTTACCTGATGATAAAAAAAAATCACGTCAAAAGTCTACACGGACCCATGTCTAAGTATAATCATTGTCGATATTCCAACTATAAGCTAGTAAGATGATTCTCCCACCAAAGTAGGCCTACAACATTAAATAGTGGCGGATCCTGGAATTCGAAATGAAGAAGCACAGAAAGTAAATTTTACAGATAGAGGATTGAGACCACTTCAGTCCCACGTACCACTTGGTTGAGGCTGAGTTAATGTGGCGCCAGCGCGGGGGGTTGGGGTGGGAGGGGCTTAAACCCCCGGACAGGTCAAGCTCCCCCATCCCCGCCGGACAGAGCTCGTCGGGCAGTCAGACCATAAAACATATAAAAATAGGCACACACCAAGCCAACACATGTCTGTCACAGCCTGAGAGTGCCATTTTCGGATCCAGAGGTTGATATTCTTTAAAAAAAAATCTCATTTGGAAGGGGAACCTCCTCTCAACCCCTTCCTCCAGCTCGAGCCTACGAGCTCAAATCCCCCTGTCGGACAACTTAGCTCCC